CACACTGACAGACAAGTGTGGTGGGTAATGGTAATAACCTCCAGATACCGCATGTTATCTGGACTCCTGTCGAGAGGCAAAGGTGCTTTGCTTCCCAACTTTGGGGCGAGTGAGTGAGTGGAACCTAGAGCAGCACTGTCCGGTAGAACCTTCTTCGGTGATGGAAATGTTCTATATCCGCACTGCCCAGTACAGTAGCCGCTTGCCCCACATGGCTATTGAGCACTTGAAATGGGGCTAGTGGGACTGAGGAACTGAATTCTTTATTTCATTTTCATGAGTTTAAATTTAAATGCTGCACATGGTTACCATGTTGGACCGTGCAGATCTCGAGGACTGGGGAAAATGGGTCAGACGCAGTCCTTGAAGGCAAGCCAGTGCAATCCTAAGGAGAGCCAGCTCTGAAGACGCCTCCCACGTGGGCGGCATTGCGGACTGCTGCACAAGCCACAGCCCGTTTCACCGGACTTGGCAGAGCATCACCTGTGTGGGTGATGTCTGTAGGGATACCCATTGCTGCGCTGTTCTTAGATGATGTTATTCACTTACTGTTCTTTTATTTCCTTTAAGAATAGCAGATGCTGAGCTCCCCTTAGCTGTGTGATTCCTCCAGGAGGTTCTATATCCTGTACCCTCTGCTTGATGGGCTATTCCATTAAACCATGACATCAGTATAGGCTTTGTGTCCATACAAAGTATAAATACTAAACCCAAATGACTTGTTTTTATTGGGGGGCGGGGGGAGAAGAGAGGGAGGCTGTACAGACTGCCCCGTAGATCGAAACTTCTGGATTTATTGGTTTTGCTTGGCTTATCTTGAATAGAGTCTGCTGAAGCTGGCTCTGGGTGTTTTGACCTTATATGGTCGTTCCTAAAGCGGCTCGTACAGTGGACGGTGAATGAATCACAGGCGTGCTTGCCAGCACTGCGGTGTATGCTCGGCTCTCCACGGCCCCGCTATCGCTTTAACCCTTCATTGGCCCGAGGGGGGACTGTGGGTGATTTATCTGCACTGTGGTTTCCTATGGGTGGTTAATTCCTTTGTAATCTAGTGAGTTTCTTTGTTGGTGGTTTAGTCCCCACTGGTCCCGTCACTATAGAAAGCCTGGCAAACCCTCGAAAGCTGTACAGCTCTCTACCTGTGGCTCCTTAAACGACCCTCCTCCCCCACCAGTATCCTTTCCACCGTGATTTTAAATATACACCAAATCAGGAGGTTGGGCACAGGTCATGTTGGACGAGAGAACACCAGCCTTTTGGAGGGGAGGGGTGGCAGCCAAGGAGGCTGGTGCCCAGAGAGGGAGGCAGTCCGCACGTTCGCTGTGGCTTCCTGTGTTCTGAAAGAAAGTGGAGCCTGGGATTCCTCTTAGTGTCCTCTTCCCTGACAGAGATACCATCTGTCCCCACACCCCTGCCCTGCCCTTATTGTTGTTGTTAGCTACTGTCAGGTCAGCCCTGGCTCATGGCAACCCCAAGTACAACAGGATTGGACCATTGTGATACACAGGATTTTCATTGGCTGATTTTCAGCAGTAGATTGCCAGGCCTTTCTTCCTAGTCTGTCTTAGTCTGGACGCTCCGCTGAAACCTGTTTAGCATCACAGCAACATGAAACCCTCACTGACAGATGGGTGCTGGTTGGCCAAGAATTGAACCCACATCTCTTGCATGGAGGGCAAGAATTCTCCCACTGAACCACCACTGCCTTCTGTCCTGCCTGTGGTGGGCTTAAAAAATGACATCTCATTTTAAGTAGCTGCTCTGTACCAGTCTGAGTCAGCCTGGCTGGGTACAAGTGCAGGATGAACTCTCTGAAGGAAGGAAAAGCCACAGGGCCAGGAACATCTAATCAGAGGGGCAGGGTGTCTGCATTCATTCTGTATGCTGGCCGAGTTCCTAGGGCATGGCAGATGCCCACAGATATTTTCCTAGCCAGATAACCATCTCCAGCTTTTCTGACATCTGGGAGGCCAGGTGATTATGTTTTAACTTCCCTCCTACCAGTATTGTCTGGAGCTTTGGTGTCACAGTGGTTAAGAGCTCAGCTGCTAACCAAAAGACTGGCAGTTCGAATCCATCAGCTGCTCCTTGGAAACCCTATCGGGCAGTTCTACTCTGTCCTGTAGGGTCACTATGAGTTGGAATCGACTTGACGGCAACGGTTTTTTTTTGTTTGTTTTTTGTTTTTTATCACTATTATCCAGCAAGAAACACTGGTTCCCAGTTCTGAGGTCATTAGCATTTTCTAAGGAGTTAAGCTTTTTCGTCTTTTGTTCGTATTATTATTTTATTTTTTTAAGAGATTTTGACCCTAATAAGACTAAGGATTTTAGAATTATACCTCTGTTTTATCTGAGCTTTTCAATATGGATCGCATCTCTTCCAGTATAGAAATAATAATCAGTATTCAGAAGTGTTAGCTGTGGGCCTGGTATTAGTCTGAGAAATGGATATCAATTCACTAACTTAATCCACACATCAACCTTATGAAGTAGTTGTTATTTCCTTTCCCAGTTTTATGGATAAGGAAACTGAGGCCAGAGAGGTTAAGAAACTTGCCCAGAGTCACACAGTGAGTTAGTGGCAGAGCTGGCCTTTGACCCAGGACGTCCCTGGCTCCAGAGCTCCTGCTCCTGGCGGTAGAAAGGTGATCATCCTTTAGCCTTATTCTGGTCGAAACAATGAAACTTCCCATTTCTATAGTATTAGCTCTTGTTAATAGGTGAATAAATGATTTTTAAGTACAAATGTGAAAATTATGTTGAGGAATACAAAACCTTGCAGATGAGACCAATATTCACATTGATAAATGCTGGTTTTGAAGTGGGTTATGTATACGTAACACCTGAGCAAAAGGATCTAAACAAATTCTCCATAGGAGCAGGAATAAATCACTACCCATCGCGGTCGAGTTGATTCCAACTCATTATTGTCGGGGGACTTAGGAGAGTGTCGTTTCTGGAATGATTACTGTGCATGGAGGACCTGGCCTCAGGAGCTAGTGTTCCTCAGGGTAGTATGTCATATTCCCCAGGTTTGTGTTGGGGCAGGGAAAAAAAAAAAAGGTTGAGTGCTATTATCTTAATAAATGCACTTAACTAGAAAGGAGATATTCAGGACACCAGCCTTGCACAGGGAGACCAGACAGTGAGAACTTACGCAGACCAGTGAAGACGATGCCTCTCCCTCTGTTGCACAGACACCCCTCAGCCATTCCTTGTGGCTAGGAGGAGCTGTGGAGCAGGTGGCTCCTAATGGAAAGATCAGGACTTTGAACCTGTTTGTTCCGGTTCAAACCCCTGCTGAGAATTTGCATTTCTAACAATTTCCCAGATGATGCTAATGCTGCTCCTTAGGGATCAGTTCAGAGAACCACTAGCAGAGCGGTGGTTCTCAAAAATTTATCATACATAAGAATCACCTGGGGATCTCCTTAAACTGTAGATTCTGATTCAGTATATCTGGGGGTAGAAAGGCAATTCCCAGTGGGGGTTCAAACTGGAATGAACCGGTTTGAAGCCCTGGGAAAGATAAATGCAAAATTTTAGGACTCTTTTCAATGCTATTTTAATTTGATGTTTAAAGTCCTGTTCTGAGAGGTGGAGAGAAGACTCAGATGCCAGAAGAGGTGAGAGGTAGCAGAGACCTAGTTTGTGTTGGAAGTAGAAATTCCCAATTAGTGCAGTTTTTCACCAAACTCCAGTTAGATTTTCTCACTCCCTTTTCTCTACTGGGTGTGTTTGGTTGCAGGAATAGAAAGCTCAACTCAAAGTGGCTGAAACAACAAGAAAACAGGTGCCGTTGAGTCGACTCCAAGTCATGGCAACCCTATGTGTGTCAGAGTAGAACTGTGCTCTGTAGGGTTTTCAGTGGTTGTGACCTTTTGGGAGTAGATTGCCAGGGCTTTCTTCTGAGGCACTTCTGGGTGGACTAGAACCTTCAGCCTTTTGGTTAGCAGACAATTGCCTTAACCATTTGCATCACCCAGGGACTTCTGCTGAAACACTAAAAGAGAATCACTGGCTCATGGGCAGGGTGGGCTTCAGGGTGGTTTGACTCAGTGACTTGATGCTGTTATCCAGAACCCTGTGTTCATATTTCTCTCTGCTCTGCCCACCATGGAGCCAGACTCACCCTAAACTCTGCTTCTGTTAATGGTTGGAAGATGGCTGCCAGGGCTTGTTCTTCCTCAGCCCTCTCTCAGTTCAGGGTGGGGGTGCTTCTGATGGAAGAGTTTCTTTTCCTGAAGCCCCCACTGGTTTCAGGTGGATCCCTTGTCCCCTCTGGCATCAGTGCCTCATGGGGCAATGCTGATGCCCAGGCCTGAGCTGAGCGCCCTGCCTCAGGAGCCCCACTGTGGGATTGGTTTTCCCCAGACCCAGGGCTGTGAGGAGAGATGTGGGCCCCGCAACAAGAGCCAGGTAGTCACCAACTGCACGTCTCACTACTCTTTCCATAACCCGCCAATGCCTTTCTATACTCACAAGTTCAGTTTTCTGCTAAAAAGTAGAAAATTGTCTTTTTTGAAATATTACTTTTTACTGCTGTTGTGACTTAAGTCTTCTTGGCTCCTCCCTCCCTCTCTCCCTTCTCCTTTCCCCTCCCTCCTCCATTTTTTCTCCTCTCCTTCCCTCTTCTCCCCTCTTTGCCTTTTCTTCTTATCCCCCCTTCTCTCTCCCCTCCTTCCCCCAGTTCCTCCTTCCCCCCTCCTTACTCTGTCCCCACAAACCAAACCCACTGCCGACAAGTCGATTCTGACTCATAGTGTCCCCATAGGGTTTCCAGGGCTGACACATCTTTCTTTCATAGAGCCACTGGTGGTTTCGATCTACTAACCTTTCGGTTAGCAATCAGGCACTTTAACCACTGCACCACCAGGGATCCTTCCTTCCTCTGTTATTGCCCTTCAGCTGATGATCTAGTCACTTATTTAACTCATCTAAATTAGTTCAGTACAATTACTTTCTCACTAATAAAATGCCTTCTTGCTTCCTCCCCAGGAAGAAGAAATGCCAGATGTAGAAATTGACATTGACGATCTGCTTGACGCAGACAGTGAAGAAGAGAGAGCTTTAAAATTACAGGTAAGCAGCCTTCAAAATCTACAACCTTCCGATAACTAAAGCTTGCCTACACTTGGGTCTCCAGAGCTTGGCGTGAATGAATTCTGCCCTGTGGCAGTGTCGGCTCAGGGCATGGGCACTGGTGGCTCGCAGAGGAAGGCGCTGAGGTGCTGAGTATACATTCATAACGGTCTCTGGGGAAACAGCGGTTCTTGACTACTGTCGCTTCTCAAAATACCTTACAAACATGAGTTTCCCCAGCCTCTTTTTGGGAGAGAGAGCTGGTTCTGCCTCCAAAGATCCGTTTACCAGTTTTGGATTGTATCATTCATGAAATTAAGTTTTCGATAAGCTTGCTTAGACAGTAGTTCTATTTAATAAAATATTGTCTATTAGAGAACACTCACCGTATAGCATTCTAACGATGGATGTTGAGACGTCTCGTGTTTCCTTAGTCTAGAGTAGTAAAATATTTCCCTTTCCAGAGGAGGTCAAATCTATCATTTTAAAATCTGCATTTGGGAGTTCCTAAAACCAGTTGACCTTTGACCTGCTGTTATCCTTACTGTTCACTGATAAATACTGTTAATGGCAGTTATTTATCACCGATAGCAAATGATCACTAAAAGCAATCCGAAGGTACATTTTAATGTATGAATGTGTTCAATGTGTTAATAATTACTAGTGTCCCTGGAGTGGTGAACAGACTCAGTTTACTGATTTTTTTTTTTTTTTTTTTTGGTGGTAGGATTATTTGGGAGGCAATAGCATCCTAGTTATAAAAGTTTTTTAAAAATAAGATAAAACAGGCACTAGTTCTGTAGAAAGGAGCCCTGGTGGCACAGTGGTTAAGCACTCGACTACTAACCGAAAGATTGGAGGTTTGAACCCGCCAGCCGCTCCTCGGGAGAAAGGTACGGCAGTCTGTCCTTATATTTTCTGTAAAGATTTACAGCCTAGGAAACCCTACAGGACAGTTCTACCCTGTCCTGTAGGGTTGCTCTGAGTTGAAATCAACTCGATGGCAATGATATTTCTATAGAAAATATAAGGACAGTAAAAGCTTTCTTAAAATTTAGAACTTGAACGGGGCTTCAGCTGTGCTCAGGTCATGGCGCCTTGATTCCCAGGTGAGAACACGGAGGCCCGCAGAGGCTGTATCACAGCTGGCACGCGGCTGAACCCCGGCCAGACCCCTCTGTCCGCATCAGTGTAATCGTTATCACCTCTTATACACTGTCGAAACTTTAGGTTAATATTGACCAAGTTGGCAGCTAAAAGGAAAGCGGGGTGTGTGTGTGAGTGTATGTGTGTGCGCGCACGCGTGCGTGTGTGCGCGTGTGTGTGTCTGTGCATGAAGGGGGGTAGAAAGTCACTGACCAGATGGGTGGGATTAAAATCATTTGGATCCCTCTGGGTTGCGTTCAGTTAATAGAAGGAAAACCGCAGTGGTGGGGTCTGGCCCTTGTGGAAGGCTGTCCTGGGTTTGAGCTTATTGAGCTAGTCCACATCTTCCTGCAAACTATAACCTAAACCAAACCCAAACCAAAGCAGTTGTCGCGGAGTGGGTTCTGACTTATGATGACTCCACATGTGTTGGAGTAGAAACGTGCTGCATAGGGTTTGCAGTGGCTGTGATCTTTTGAAAGTAGATCGCCAGCCCTTTCTTTTGAGGTACTTCTGGGTGGACTCGAACCTCCAGCCATTCATTTAGCAGCTAGCACATTAATTGTTTGCACCACACAAGGACTCCTACAACCTAATGGATACCCTAATATCTCCCATCTTTCCTTAACATAGGCCCTTTTCTTTTCCTCTGTGAGATATTCATAACCTGGTTGTCAAGTGTCAGATTTAGTTTCCAGTGCTATGGTAATACAAAATTATAAATCTCCTATTAAAATTTTTTTTTCCTTGAAGGGTGCATGTATGTGTGTCTGTGTATGTATGCATTGCCTGAAGAACAAAGCATTTCTGCCTGTTAAGGATACAACCTTTTATATCTTCAAATGACCAACTGGTGCTAGGATAAACAAGTGTGATTCTAGATAGTCAATAAGAAACCTTGATTCACCATGCTTAAAATAATACTATACAGATGAAACGATTTTTAATTTCATTTTAAAAATTATATTTAATTTTAA